GCTATTTACGGTCTCACGCTTCGCCGATGCCGATGCAGGCCACTTGAGCCTTTCTGATGATGGGGTAGTTGAAGTTGGAGGTGGAGGACGAGGAGGAGGAGGAGGAGGAGGAGGAGGAGGAGGAGGGGAGGAGGAGGAGGAGGAGGAGGAGGAGGAGGAGGTGGGGGAGGGCCCACGGGGGGGGACAATGCAGGAAAGGGGGAGATGGGAAAGAGGACGAGGATAGCGGAGCGAAGAAGAAAATGTGGGGGATCAGAAGGAAGGTGACGGGGATGAGGACTAGGAGTTTGATGAGCAGGCAGAGGAGGAAGACGAGGAGGGCAGTGCAAGTTGGAGGGATGATGACGACTAAGGGGAAGGCCAGGAGGACACGAGACGGCAAGATGACTTTGAGAAGCATCGGCATCCTAATGATATCGAGGTCAGCACGCTGCCTCCGAGGTCGCAGTCCTCTCGCGAGAGCTTGCTCGTGGGATTACACTTTGGCCGCTGTGGCCGCCAGAGCAGCGCGTGATATTCGGGGGGGTATAGGAGGATATGGAAACAATCCGTTAGCGCCTGCTTGTTTTTTTTCGGGCTGGGGTGGCGACACGTGGAGCACGCGGCGCTGGCAATTGAGGGCGAATGCCCTTATCTTGCATAGGGGCAAACTGGGGTGCTTTCAATCTGCGAGCGTCGAGCGCGACCACAGTTGCAGGCCCGAGTGCACTCGGCTGCTAGTCGCTCTCTCTCTCTCTCTCTCTCTTTCTCGCTCACCCACCCTCTCTCTCTCTCCTCTCTTTCTCCACTCCCTCTCGCCACCCTCCACCTACCTCGCTCGAACGCTCCCTCCCTCCATTCCTCGCTCCCTCCATCCCTTGTCTCACAATTGCACCTTCCCTCTCTCTCCCTCTCCTTAGTTTCAGTATGCCAGCGACTGCAATGCTGGTTGGTGCGCCTATCGTCGACATTCGAGCTCACGCGACAATCGTGTCAGAAAATATGGAAAATCCTCGCTCCGACAGCCGTGGGTCCCCCGTGGGTCCATCGATGGACCCACGCAGCCGGTGGACGCCCGTTGGACCCTTGTAGAGGCCAACGCACCCGTGGGTACCCGTGGGCCCGACGTCCCACGCGCATGCAATTGTGAGGATGTCACGGGCGAGGGCAGGCCAACGCACCTCCATCGCACCCGGGGGACACCCGTTGGACGACCCTGGCCACCGTGGGCCCCCCGTGGGCCCCCCGTGGGCCCCCCGTGGGCCTCCCGTGGGCCTGTCGTGGGTCACTCGTTTTCAACGAACTCCTCGAAAAAACCATTGATGCTGGAACATTTCTTTCGGGGGAGCTCAATCGCTCAGTTTTTCCGAATGAAGTGCGAAACGATATCAAGAAACACTGCGTCTGCTCACACTCTCTCACATTCCATTTCGCTCTTCATCCTCTCGTCCCGACCGCTCGCCCCCTGAGCCCCCCAGCTCGCTCGCCCGCTGTCTCCTGCACACGTTCCTCCTCCTGATATTCAGGGCCACGAACAGGCGCACTTAGGCTCTCCAGGTGCCTATCATCATTGCGTCGCTAGCTCTCGCCACGTCGTGGCACTGGCCGAGTTGCCGCGCTGTCTTCTCCGCGCCACCTTTTCAGGCACCTCGGCTCCAGGAGTTAGCCTCTGGCTTGAGCCATGGGTGATTCCGATGACGAGGAGCAGCGCCACCAGTGGCGCACTGGCGGCGCTGGCCTGTTCCGCTTCCTGGTCAGCTTAAAAGCGCAGAACAAGCTGAGCGCTGCTGATCTGTGCATGGCCTGTTTCTGGTGCAAGAAAGCTGGCGTCCTGGGGGCGGAGTTCGAAAAGTTTGCGAGGGAACCTGGTTTGCAGAGTGGTTCTTACAACAGAAAGTTGGTGCCTCTTCTTCCTGGTCCTGGGCCTGTCGTGTATGAAAAGGTCCCTGGGATGAACCCGCATGAAGGTGTTAGAACAACTGTGGTGGTGCCCATTGCCGCAGTGCACGAGATCATAGAAGAGGAGTTGTTGAAAGATCCAGAGATCTTGCACCGAGTCCAGGATAAGCAGTGGCCAGCTGCGTATCATCGTCATCCTGTTGTTGCTCGCGCTCGAGAGAATGGCGAGCCTCCCCCACTTCCTCTTGCGTTTTTTGGCGACAGTGTGCGTTACACATCTCTGATTGCTGGGACACCACGATCGGTTCTGGGGGTATGGCTGACAAATCTGGTAACTCAAAAACGGTACTGGATTGGGGGTCTCCGCACTCAAGAGACATGCCGTTGCGGGTGCCGAGGGTGGTGCAGTATTTACCCATTCCTGTCGGCAATATCTTGGCTGATTGAAGTCATGTGTTCAGGGGTACGGCCCAATGTGAGTGCGTTCAATGCCCCCTGGAAGCCTTCGGACCCTCTCTTCGATATGATTGGTAGGAAGGGGCCGCGTCTCAGGTACAAGGCGGCAGTGATCTGGGTGAAAGGGGACCTCGCAGAGTTGTCACATACTTTAGGGTTCCCTTCAGTCACTAGTAGATACCATTTTTGTGTGTATTGTAACGCTACCAAAGACAATTGTCACGACGGTTATGGGAAATGCGCAACGTTTGATCATCATTATGAGCAAAAATCTAGTGCTACTTACCGCGAATTCATTCGCCGCTCTACAATCACCAAAACCATAAACTCCAGGGATGAGCAGATCGCCATCGTGAGGGACGGCATGTTGTCACCGATCGCAGGTCGGGGTTACTGGGGTCGGACGTTACAGGCGAACTTACCTGGGACGGGGTTGTCTGCTGGGGACCGATTGGAACCGAGCCAGGACGTGCCCGACGTAGCTAAATTCGAGCATATAGAAACACCGTTCGAAGCCACGTTTTGGAGAGCGAACCTCGGACCCAATAGGATGTTGGAGGACCCGGTCGTGCACGCGTGCCCTCTGTTCTTTCGAAATACAGGCTTGAGTGTGGAGAATATTTGTACAGACATGTTGCACACAGTGTATTTCGGACCTGTGATGCGCTATGTGGCGGCCGTCGCTTGGAGGGTCAACATAGCGAACCCCTGGGACTTGGTAGGCTCCCTAGAGGAGAAGCTGGAAGCAGGAGCCAAGCGACTTCGCGCAGAGCTCTTCTCGTGGCAATGTGAATGCAATATTGACCCTGGCGATCGTCTGAATGATTGGACGTTGAATATGATGGGCGAGCAACGGGGAAGCACTCACACTGCTGAGTTGGCACACCCAGGCTGCCACATCAAGTTGAAAGCCGCAGAGTGCGGCGTTGCTCTTCTGTTCGCAAATCATTTGATGGGGAAGTGGGGGGGGCATTTGCATCATCATAGGGAGTTGCGCCGTGTCGGTGTTAGTTTGGCTGAATACTTGGATGTGTGCAGGGAGCTTCCGCTCGTTCCAGATATTCCCAGTTGCCAGCGATTGGTTGATTTGATGTCGGCCGCCAATCTGTACTCCCAGCAAGCGCGGATTTCCCTCGTCCCGAAGCACCATTTCTTTATGGAGATGACGATCAGGACTGCCCCAGGGATTTCTAAACCCCATGCCCGTGGGAGGTCGCAAGGTTTGAGTACTCCCCTTTGGTATTGGAGCGGCCTTCTCCGTCTCTTCCTTCTCCTCCTCCTCCTCCTTTCCCTCCTCCTCCTCCTCTTCCTCCCCTGCCCCTCCTGCTCCTCAACCAGCCCTCTCCCTCTCTCTCTCTCTCTGCCTATCTCCCTCTCTCCTTTTCTAGTTCTCTCTCTCTCTCTCCCTCTCTGCCCCTCTCTCCCTCCACCCCTCCGTTGCCCTTCTGTCTCACCCTCTGTCACTCTCTCAGCTTTCGTCTCCGCAACACTCCCGCCCTCCTGCCTCTGCCCCGCCTTCGCGCGGGCGCAGATCTGGCGGGGCGCGGGCGGTGCCGTGGGCGAAATGAGAGGAATGAGGAGGGTGGAGTTCGCGAGGCCCCACCGCTCCAATTTCGGCACGCCCCTCACGCGGCCCGAGGGCGTGGTCATAGGGGGCCCATTTCAGCACATGGCTGTCCCGCATGGCAACGGAGCCTCAAGTTGGCATGCCCCTCATGCGTTGCCCAAGCCCCATCTGCATAAGAACCGCCGTGTACTGGTACACCCCTCACGCGATTCCAGGACCTCGAAGCTCTCCCCCCCCAGATTGGGCGACCGCGCGGCCTGCAGATATATGAGCACTTACTGCCACGAGCACCAAAGCACATCTGGAAACACGTATGATCAAACATTAGCGCATGCGCTAGACTGGTTAAGATATCACAAACACCGCACGGACAACCACGACCGCACGCACAAAATGCGAATGTACTTACATAGCGAGCGATGCACACATATAAACATGTAACAACGCGCACACACCAACTACACACTGTATACGTGCCGTTTCCGTGGGAAACGGCCAGACTCAGGTAGGCCCCCATTCATCTGACAGGATCCACTATCTGGGTTGCCCCGCGTACTACGCATGCTGGCGGGATGAGTCTCTGAACCGAGTGCTGAGGACTATCGCGGAGCATGCAAAACCTCAAGTGTTTCATCTGCGTGTTTTGGAGGGCTTCAATCTCATAGGCTATTTGGGGCTCAGTGTCATCCACGCAGGTGACGACGAATACGATGACAGAGCCCTCATCCCAGATGGTAACGAACTTGATTTCTAGCGTGCCGCCCCATGTCATGCAAGCCGCGTCGGAGGCGATGGCGAGGCATGGATTGGAGCAACCACTCTCGACCATGAGCCTTCTGACGCTCACCCGCGAATATTGGGAGTCTATTGCCCCTGATCGCACGCTGCATCTTGTAATGCTATTCGCTGGGCAGGGTGGGGGCGCTCGAGCGACAGTGAAGCAAGGGATGAGAGCTGCAATGATCGATTACGCGAATGAGGCCCACCAAGACATCTCTTGTATCCAGGGGTGCTTCTACACTGCATGGTGCATCAAATCGGTCACGGAGAAAAGGGGTTCTCTGGTGTTCGCCTGAATGCCGCACGTGGTTGCAATTCA